TTCCATTTTTAAGGCAATAACTGTATAATATTATCCAATCATCGGAGAACAAAGCTTTCAAAAATCTGTAAAAAGGAAATGTAGGCAGATTTTGTAATAATGGTTGTTCTCTACTCATTTTATACTTGATAGTATTTGCTTTCTATTAATGTTTTATGCTACTTCTTGATTTTATCCTTTGTAAGTCTTTAGATAGTCAAAATCTTTGCTTTTATTTAGGTCTTCCTGAAAGTGGTGTGGTTTCAATTTTGTTAGATATTATGTTCAGAATGTAAATTTTGTGGGGAGTTTAGTTGTTGCTTCACTTGATGCCAAGGTATTCTATTCCTTTGATGTTATTATAAGTGGAATTGTTTTCTTAATTTCATTTTTGGTTAGTTTCTCACTAGTAGAAATGCAGTGGATTGTGTGTAGCTTATAACCTTGCTGCACTCATTTATTCATTCTAATGTTTTTTTAGTTTATTCCTTAGGATTTTTTTATATATAATATCATGACATCTATAAGGATTCGATATTTTTGTTTGTTTGTTTGGTTGGTTGGATTTTTTTTTTTAGAGAGAGAGATTTTTTTTTGCTACATGGCATGGGTACTTGCCAGATAACAGAAAGTAAGAAGTCATCCCTGCGGTGGGATAGCCACACTGCAGTACCTTCTCCTTCACTCTTCTGTTGGGATTCTGGGCATGCATGCACACACACACAGCGTGATTTTTAAGCCTCAGACCACGGTCAGCTATGTGGGCGTCCAGCAACATAACCATTATGCCATCTGCTGGTCCCATTAGAGATAGTTTTAATTCTTCTTTTCTAATCTGAATTCCTTTAGTTTATTTTTCTTGTCCTATTGCCCTGACTTGAACCCTAAATAAAAAGCCAAATATCAATGATGAAAACAGACATTCTTACTGTTTCCTATTTTAGGGGGAAAGCGTTCAGTCTTTCACCATTATGTATAATACTAACTATAGGCTTTTCATAGGTGCAGTTTATCAGATTGAGAAAGTTTCTTTATATGTCTAGTTTGATAGATGTTCTTAAAATGAAAGTTTGATATTGCCCTACATATGCACCATATTCCAAGTGCTTAGAATATATCTGTATGTATTTCTCCGTTGAGAATGTTATCTAGTAGGGAATGAACTTATTCCTATTTGGTTTAATTTGAATTGCATTTATTCTCTAATCAAAACTAAATGTTAATGATATCCCTTTATAAGACCTTACTTTTCTTTTTGAAGGGAAATGTTTAACTCTGCTTAAAATTTTTTAATTGATATGTAATTTACATACTTTTCTATGTAACTGCAAATCTTCATGTAAAACCTAATTAATTTCTATACATAAATACATCTGTTTAAACTCCATCACAGATCACTTGGGGATTTGTGAACTTTTTGACTTTTTACTATAGTTTTATTTTCTTTATCTCTGTTTCATGCTTTATACATATCTGTTCTGTAATACATTTGATGAAGTTTTGTTTTGTTTTGCTTTAAAAGAGAGAATTGAGATTTGTTCTTTGATTTTCAGTGATCTCATCAAGTAGAGAAATACACATGAGGATTAGATGAGTTTATATATTTGCTCATTGAAATGTTTTATAGATCTCAGCTATTACCCATAGAGTACCTACCTATATTGTGTTACAGATAACTACCATATTTAATCTTCAAAATAGGGCTATATATACTTTTCTTTTGTATTCTATAGAAAAGGAAGTAGGGATTTAGAAAAGGCTTATCCTTTTAAAATTCATATAGTTGGCTCTTCTGGTACCAATCCTCTTATTCTTTCCCCTTCCTCTATAATAATAAATATGGATTATTTTATCCCTAGTGAATAATTTTCTTTGTTTTACCTTTGGTACATGTAGAGAGAAGTCACATTTATTTCTTTGGTACATGAAGAATCAGTCCCATGCTGTCAGTCTAGAAGTAAATAATCTTAGAGGCTTTTTATTGCAGTCCATGGGCCAAATCTGAGACAGCTTTCTAAGGTTTGTGTTCATGAAGGACCTCTGTTTTCATAGTAGATCCAGAAAAGGAATGACTTTAATGATCTATCTCTTTAAAGAATATACTTAATTATATGATACAGTTTTCCACATTCTAATTTTAACTCTAAATGTAGCTCCTTAGAAGAATTTTAAAAGTATTTTAAAATTTTTTATTTTATAAGAATTTTTCTTAATTCATTCCATCTATTCCTTACGCCTAGATGAATGTGGTTTTTACCACACAATTTAGCATTTACTTATATGCCAAATTACTACTTTCTTGCAGTCTGAAATTTACCCCTTCTTCCCATTTTATTTCCAGTGTGTTTTTTTAGGCGTGGATCTTGTCCTTTTAGTTGTACTGTGCTCTAAATCTAATAGGTCCTCAATGACTACATGAAGATTTAAACAACTTTGTTTTCCTCAGAATCATGATTTATGAGAAGTACAGATTGATAGTGCTTGGTCTAAGCCAGTTAAGATGCATTGAGCTCCAGAGATTGAGTGTGTGCTTCATGAGCATTATTGGAATAGATTAGAATATTAGATTTCCTCCTGTCTTTGTCCTTTGGCTAACATGTTATAGAAAGTAAGGTATCTATTAATTCACATACATTAAAAGAACCTTCAAGTTGCTAATGTAGTTGAAGTAAATTTTAACATCTTCACAACTAAATTCTCTTTCTTTTCCTTGGACCTGATATAGGTGAAAAAAACCATTAACGTTATAATTTGTGTAAACAGTGCCAGAACTGTTGAGGACATGTATTTTGGAAGGGTTGAAATGATTCATTAATAACTTGAGTCTGAGTTTTATAAATGTACTTTCTCATTTATTTTTAATTGTATGTATAATATTTTATATTTATTCACATTGTTTACACTAGGTACAAAGAATTTTACGTGAAAGGTTTTGTCATCAGAGCCCACATAGTAACCTATTTGGAGTGCAAGTACAATACAAGTAAGTTCAGCTATTCTCTTCTCAAGAGCCAGCCTACAGAGGCCCAGGTTTTATAAAACTAATGTACCTGGGCTAGCCTGTGCCCTAATAGTTACGGCATCTGGATCCCATATGGCCTAGCACAGTTCAGGTCCTAGATCTGGCCGCTTGAGAAACATTAAATTAATAATAAATTGTAAAATGGAAATAAAATAATAAATATAAAAATTTATTGTACCCGCATTTGATCTTAAATAAGTCTAATGAACACCTTTATAGAAGTTAACATTTTGGGGTTTTGTATGGGAACACTAAATGTAAGGACACAGGTTGAAACACGGTAGTATTAAGGCAGCTAGCCAACTGTGCAGTTTGAATCCCAGACTTGGTGGCTTGAAAAAGATGCTGGGTGAGTATGCATTTATGTCTAAAATCACAAAAGGAGGGAGAAATGGAGGAGAAAGGATGGTGGCGTGACCATGCCCCAATTGGGGGTGCAGTGTCACTACTCGCCCCTACCCTCCCCCTTTTCTCTCCAGAGAGCAAACACCTCTGCCAAAACAGAGAGAGAGAGGGAAGAGGAAGGAAGAAAGGAATGAGAAATGAAGGCAAGGAAGACCGAGTATCATGAAGCAGGAGCAGAAACATTTTTTCATAATGCGATAGCCCTTTAACTTTCAGTCTTGTTTCTGTTATATGATATTATTAAGATAATTCAGATTTTCCTGACCTTAATACCTGTCAGCTAGCTATGGGGTAAAAGGACAGAGTGTTAGTAGAAAGGAGGGTCCGAATCCAAGAATTGATGATTTGCCACTATTGTCCATTGTGCCAATGTATTCCAAACTTACAGGTTTCCTCTTGAGGTTTTCCAGATAATCAGTAATGGCCTACAATATCTTCTCTTATGTTCTTTTGTGTAGGACTGTTTAGAATGCGTACTACTTAGGAAGTTATTTGAGCTTTATTTTTAAAATATTGACATATCGTATCATTATAGACACTTAATTGAACTGCTAAAAAGAACTGCTATCCATGGAGAAAGTAACTCTGTTCTCATTATTGGACCCCGAGGATCAGGGAAGACTATGGTAAATGCTGTTAATTTCTGATGTTTCTTTGTTTTTATCAGAATGTGGTGATTCTTATTTCAGATAATACTTGAATGGTTTTCATTTCATTGTTTCATCACTAAAATTTTCCTTTCTTTTTTTTCACTTTCTTTAACTCTAACCTTAGAAAACATTAAAACACCTTATAAAATTATTGTAATATATTTGAGTAGAGAAAACTTTACCTATTTTTCTTCCCTGTAACAAATTTTTAATGTTCCTTTGTCCTTGAAAAATAAGTGAAAAAATAAACTAGTATTTAGTGAGCAAATACTACCTTCTTATAATCAGCATTCTCTCATTTAGTTTTTGTTGATTTTTAAATTTTGTTTCCTTCATAGGGAGGGAAGGTACACCTCTGGCATGGTTTTATCATTCTTTGATCTCCTTTAAGCTTTCCAGCCAAACAGAACTGTGGATGTTCCCAGTGTGTTCTGAACCCTGGGATCTGAACCCCGGCCCCTCCCTTATTGCTCCAGTGTCCCTCAGCAATCCTTTACTGCCTGTGCCTCATGGCCAGTCTTCTCATATATTCTTTGTGTTAACCCTGCAAGGAATGCTTTATTTTCTTTATGGATTAGGAAACTATCATACTATGTATTCTCTCCCCCACCGTTTATTTATTTTTACTCTTCATTATTTGACTCTTATTTTTTAAAAAATAATTATTTTATTTAACTTTATTTATTTATATTTGACTAGAGAGGGTCAGAGCGAGAATGGGGGAGGGGAAGTGAGAAAGCAAGCTGCCAGGTCTAGGACTTGAACCGCAATTGGCCATGTGGGAGTCCAGTGCTCTTAACCACTATGCCACCTGCCGCCCCAACCCTGTTTTTTTGTGTTTTTTTTTGTGTTTTGTTTTTATGTGTACAGTCACATTCTCTAAAATTCTCTTCCATATTCCTTCCTTATCACATTTGCTTATTTATATCCAAAAGGTATTCTTGTCTTTTCCCCCCCTCAATCTTTCCTTTCACATTGTTTATTCAACATTGGAGACAAATTATGGATGTTATCATTTCAAAGTATTACTTTTTCATTTTAAATAGTTAGACTGTGTAAAAACCTATTTTTTAAGATTTTTGCCATAGGACATTTGTGCTCACCAGAGACAGACAGACATAGTGAGAGGGAAAGTAAGAAATCATCCCTGGAGTGATGGTCACATCACAATCCCTTCTTTGTTCTCCTTCTGGAATTTTGGCATGCACACATATGTACCAGTGTGATTTTCACGCTGCCAGGTATAGGACTCGAACCATGGTTGGCCATATGGTAGTCCAGCACCTTAACTACCATGCTACCTCCTGGCCCCAAGCCTGTTTTCTAATAGATTCTGTACAGTTATGTTTGATTTATAACTAATATACTTTCTAAAATATGGGTCATAGAAATAAAGTATGTGTTTTTATTTTTCAATTAATATGTGTTTTGATTTCTTTTAGTTTTTGTTATGGGGCACAAGTCCTCACCAGAGAGAAAGGGAGAAGGGAGTGAGAAACTGGAGGGTAGAGGCTGGCCATGACATAGTCCCTTCTCTTCTGTTCCGCTATCAGGATTTTGAGCATGCATGCACACATGCCTGGCATGATTGTCAAGCTGCTGAGTCCAGGACTTGACTCACAGAGCCAGCCATGTAGGATCCAGCATCCTGACCATGCCGCCTGCTGGCCCTTCACCTAATGTTACTTTAGTTAGAATTTTACTGTTATCTTCCATTTCCAACATTGTTTAAAGTACATTAATTGGTTGCCAGACAGTGGAATGGTGATAAAATACAATTCTCTGTAAGTCAGTGCCACGTAGGAAGGTTTTGATTCAAATCCAGAGGCTTCTCAGGTATATGTGTGCCCAAGCATACATACACCAGGCACATGTGTACCCATGATCAAACATGGTGGGGGCTGGAGATGGATTGTTGCATTGAGACTGTTGGGGGTGTTATGTCTCTCTCTTTTTCTCTTGTCTCTCTTGCTCATCCAGGAAATTAATTAATTTTTTTTTTTAGAGAGAGATTTTTGCTATAGAGCACATGCGCTCACCAGAGAGACAGCAAAAGGCAGAAAGTGACAAATCACCCTGCAGGAGGATGGCTATGCTGCAGTCCTTTTTCTCCACCATTCTCCTCTTGGGATTTTGGGCATGTACACACACATGCCTGCTGTGAGTTTTAAGCCACCAGGTCCAGGACTATTACTATGGTAAACTATGTGGGAGTTCAGCAACATAACCATTACACTTACTGCTGGTCCCAATAAATGAATTTTAAAGACTTAAAAATTGGGACCAGCAGTTAACATAATGGCTATGTCGCTGGACTCCCATGTAACTGACTGCAGTTCACGTCCCGGACCCTGTGGCTTAAAACTCATGCCAGGTGTATGTGCGTGCATGCCCAAGATGCCGAGAGGAGAACGTAGGAGAAGGGATTATGGCGTGACCATCCCTCTGGGGAGCAATCTCTCACTTTCTGTCTGTCTGTCTGGCGAGCGCACACGCCCTATAGCAAAAACCTCTTAAAAAAAAAAAAAAACTTGGGAACCAGCAGTTAGCGTAATGGCTATGTCGCTGGACTCCCACGTAGTCGACCGCGGTTCACGTCCTGGACCTGGTGGCTTAAAACTCACGCCGGGCGCGTGTGCGTGTGTGCCCAAGATCCCGAGAGGAGAATGGAGGAGAAGGGATTGCGGCGTGACCATCCCCCCTGGGGGGTGATTTCTCGCTTTCTGTCTCTATGTCTCTCTCTGTCTGTCTGGCGAGCGCACGCGCCCTACAGTGAAAATCTCTCCAAAAAAAAAAAAACTTAAAAATTTTGCATACTATTTCAAGAATTATCACATTTGTTATAATCATATTTATAATTACAAATTTATAATTATAATTGCTTTTGACATTCAGTTCTCATGTCCAGCTTCTATATCAATTTCTTTATTCTTGAAGTGGTTTTTGTTTTGTTTTACTGTGGTTTTCCTTTGCATTTAACTTAAATGCTGTTTTAGTCATTTTATAAGAGGACTGTCAGTGTAACTAATATGCCCTTAAAATATTAGAATATTTTAACTACAAAAATTATTTCACATAACTTAAAAATTGCTGGAAATTGAATTCTTAGATCCCAGGGGTTTTTGGGGGGGATTGGGGTGGGGAGGGGATTGCGTAAATCTTAATGTTTGTTTTATGTGGACACTCCAAAGATAGACCTTTCTTTTTTCACCTTTATAAATTAATTCATCAATCTGGATAATCTGTATTCCATAGTCATAATAACCCTAAATCTCAGTGACTTAACACAACAGAAATATATTGTTGCTCTTGCTCTGTATTCAGTTTAGATCAATACAGAGGCACTGTTCCTTATTTTGAGAGAGAGGGGTTATCTCAGCATGTTCTTCTTCTGTCAGAACCCCAGTGGAGGGAAGAGACTCTGGTGAATCACGGACACACACTATTAAATCTTCCTACCTATTACTGATTACAGTATATCTCTTCTTAGTTCTTAGGACAGGCTGAGTAAAAATGTAGCCTCTAGTTTCACTGGAATGAGAGCTAGGTCATTTCTGACTTCAATAGAGCAAGGAAGTACATTCATTCTGCGTTCTTAGAAGGGGCATTAGCGTGAACAATTTGGTGAATGTCACTTTAATGATTACCATAGATGATTCGTTATAGGTTTCTCTGTGGTCCTCCCTGCCTAGGTTCTTTCTTATCCTAGAAATGTGAAAACCTGAAGAATTCTACCCAAGTGTTGATTATAAAAACTGATTAAACCTTTTCAGTGTAAATTTAGATCTTTCTTAAATTAAGGGTATTTTCTCCCTTTTTTTTTTGTCTTTTCTTGTAAAAGATATCATATAATTTGTTAGCATTTTTAGATAATATAATTCTTCAAGAGGCTTATAGTAATACTCGTGAGTCAGTCTTGTAAAGAATTAGATCTAAGAAATCAGTATATTAGAAATATCATTCATATCATCCGTGCATCTTTTTTTTGGAGAGGTTTTTTTCGCTATAGGGCGTGTGCGCTCGCCAGACAGAGAGAGACATAGAGACAGAAAGCAAGAAATCACCCCCCATGGGGAATGGTCACGCCGCAGTCCCTTCTCCTCCATTCTCCTCTCGGGATCTTGGGCACGCACGCACACGCGCCCGACATGAGTTTTAAGCCACCGGGTCCGGGATGTGAACCACATTCAACTACGTGGGAGTCCAATGACATAGCCATTAGGCTAACTGCTGGTTCCCTCATCTGTGCATCTTGAAACAATGTGTCCTTACAACAGAAAGGTTGAATCTCAATGATTCTGGTGTCTGACCTAAAAATAAATCTTGAGCAGCTGATTACAGAATTTATTCAGAACTTCATCTAAGGTATCTCTTGGGCCAGCAGTTGGCATGGTGGTTAAGACGCTGGACTCACACATGGTTGACTATGGTTCAAGGGCCAGACCCAATGACTTGAAATTCACAATGGATATGTTTGTGTGTGTGTGTGCCCCAAATCCGGAAAGGAGAAGGGATTGTGGTATGGCTATGTCCCCACTGGGGGTTGATTTCTCAATGTCTCTCTTTTCTCTGTCTCTGTGTCTCTCTTGCTAGCACATATACCCTATGGTAAAAAAAACTTAAAAAAAAAGTTTGTCTCTTAAAGATAGGTCAAACATTCAGAAAAAAAAGGGAAGTAAAGCTAGTAAACACTAAGATAGTGTTCAAGAAGATACAAATGAAGTAATACTATTTCATTAGTAAATTGGCTAAAATAGATCTACTTTTTACCAGAAAAATAGTGTAGCTGATAGAGTTTCTCATATAATCCTTTCCCTAACAGATACACACAGACACAACTTTAACTGTTATTAACGTATTGCTAAAATGTAGTACCTTTTTTAAAAATTTATTTTTGAGAAAGATTTTTGCTGTGGTGCGTGTGTTCACTGGAGAGATGGAGAGAGACAGAGGGCAAGAAATCACCCCCCAGAGGG